AAAAAAAAAAAAAAAAGAAACAGCAGGGCTTGTGCAATCAATTATGATTATTACAGGGAAAAGATATGGCTCCTATGGTGGTGGGCAGCATATTGTAGTGAAAAAACACACATTTTGAATTTTAAAAAGTCTGGGTTTAGATCATAGTTCCTCCTCTTAATGATACTATGATCTTGGTTTAAACTCACTGATACTCCATTTCCTCACTTTTCAAATAGCAGTTAGAAGAATTGCCTCTTAGAATGATATGTGTAACAAAGCAAAAATACTTTGCCCTGGTAACAGAATTATTTGGGGGGGACAGAGCTATGTTTAGGAGAGCATCTTTAATTATTCTGAAGGGAAACTGCTTGAATATTGGTAGAAGCCCATGCATAACACTGGTCAAAGTGCATCGCATCAGAGACTGAGTGAATTCTGTCTTGCTTATGAGATGGGAGAGAAGAGAAGGGTGGAGGGGTGAGCATAGAGGAAGGAGGAGCAGGGGGAAAGAGGTGAGGCTCAGGACTGAATGGCATAATGGACATTGAAGGATGAGACCAGCACTCAGTATCTGAGATCAGGGAGAGCCCTGCCGGCCCAGCGTAGTCTCGCTTATCTTACATTGATCAGGTTTTGGGGAATGGTTTGTTTCGAGATTGACCACAGCCTCAGAAGTGTGTTCCTGGGAGAGTTTGCCACCATTATATGACTTTCAAAGCTAGGAGCTGTCACCGACGGGTTATTTTAGAAGTGTATCTCCTAAAGGGAATTATGATTGATAAAAGGATTTAAAAACAGATTTCGTATTTATTTGTTACTATGACTAGAGGACTGTCCTAGGACTACAGTCCATTGAATGACCTAGTGGATTTACAACTATGGATATTTACTTGTTATCATGGCTATAGACCTGTTAGTCTTTTCCTAGGAGTGTGGGGATTTCTTTTTAAAACTTTGAAGGCCAGGGGCGCCTGGGTGGCGCAGTCGGTTAAGCGTCCGACTTCAGCCAGGTCACGATCTCGTGGTCCGTGAGTTCGAGCCCCGCATCAGGCTCTGGGCTGATGGCTCAGAGCCTGGAGCCTGTTTCCGATTCTGTGTCTCCCTCTCTCTCTGCTCCTCCCCCGTTCATGCTCTGTCTCTCTCTGTCCCAAAAATAAATAAACGTTGAAAAAAAAAAATTAAAAAAAAAACTTTGAAGGCCAATTGAGATTGCTGGGGAGAGGCCAAAGGGCATTTCAAAAGTGGAGAGACATGCCTAATGTTTAAGTGGGTGCAATTTGTGTTGCTGTAACCAACTTCCCTCCATTTCTGCCTTCAATTCTGAGCCACATTTATGGGTGGTTTGTGTATGTGGATTTCCGTCCCCCACCCCCACTTACTAAACTAAAAGAAAGGGTTCGATTGTATGTCTGGGTCAGCTTGTTATGGATGAGGGTTAATAATCAGAAACCTACAGGCTGTGAGTGGTCACTTAGCAAATGTTTACCGAGTTCCAACTATGTGCCAGGCATTGCTGTTGGCCCCTGAGATCTATTACTGAATACAAAAGCAATGATTCTTGCCTTACATTTTATTTTTTAGAGTTTATTTTATTTTATTTTTTAAAGTTTACTTATTTTTGAGAGAGAGAGTGAGCACACACAGGAGGGGCAGAGAGAGAGAGAGAGAGAGAAGGAGAGAGAGAGAATCCCAAGTAGGCTCCACTTGCAGGTCTTCAACTAAGGAACCGTGAGATCAGGACCTGAGCAGAAATCATAAATCGGATGCTTAACTGACTTAG